GCAATCCATTATCCAGTTGAAGTGGTATTGTGCTACTGACTGGAGGGTTAAACCTCCGAACAAGAGGCTTGGCTCGGGCGGCATAGATGGGGATACTGCGTATTGACAACGAGAAACAACAGAAATAATCCTTTCGAGTACTCACTTTCGAACAGTCACGAAGAGAATGGACCCTACCGTGGTGACGGTTTGTGTACCTCGGCGACCCATTGGCCCATACTGGGGGGTGCCCGCGCGACAATCACAGGGTCTCTCATAGCAGGTTGGTCCATGGGTAGAGGTCTGACGAACGCAGTCTTCTGGCCCTCCAGATTGGGGGTTGGAACATGTATGGCGACGTGTTCCGTAAAAATGATAATATACTTGCATTTTCAGCCCAACACTGCTGCTTTGAGCCAAAGGCCTCAGTTGAGGACACTAATCGTCCTCCTGTCTAGGTGTGGGAGCCCTGGCAGTATCCCAACCCTCGTACAACCATGTCATTCACCACTAACAATACTCTCATGCCACTTTCGAAAACACCCATCAGTGTGTCAGTTTGTGTCGCTCGACTCACAACTAAGTCACAATATATATAAATCACGCACCGATAAGTTGGCCACGCGGGGTGTGTGCACAGCAATCTGGAATGCGTATATTGGTTTATACTAGGCGCTGGAGGGATCCAAAGTCGTGGTATGCCCCTGTGGGCATGACACTTGGACATGGTGTTGGGGGAAACCTCAGCACCATACGGAAACGTAGAGAAATTGACCAATGACACCAAAACATCACTGTTTAACACGTTGGTAGTGTTTATCGCAGTGCTATAGGCTGGAGACAATCGGCGAGTAAGGCGCGAGCTTACTGACTAGAAGGACCGCGGTTTGAGTCCAGCATTTTGACCAGTCCTGTCTAGGTTTGGACAGCCTGGCAGTATTTCCGGTCTCGTGATTTTTTGGGTGGCATGGCAACTAGGTATTGGAGGGGTGGTACAGCTGAAAGACGAAAAAAGGTCTCTGAAACAAGCAACAGGACAAAGTAGCTAATGCTGGCCTATCAATTTATCAAGAATAACATTGACACCGCTCTCGTGGACAATAGTCGGGGGGTGATAGTGACGCGCTAACTATCGCCGAGTGATTAACCCGACAAAGCATGAAAAGATCAAGTCCGGCTGTACGACAAATTGAACAAGCGACATGTCGGACCATGCGTCGTACTTTTCAAACTGGGTCGGTTGCTCGTCGTCAGGCTTCCCTTACACATGATTGGAAGTTTTGCGGTGGTATCGTTGAGACTAATGTTGGCTCGATCAGTTGAGTTTGGTTGTATAATTGACAATGACACGTGAACTCATCAATGCCACTTTTATTTATAACGTTCCAACAGATCGTCTTGGTCCCGCAAACGCATTCCGGTCTCATGTGGGTGCAACCCAAGAACGAGAACAGTTGGTTAAACGTTCACAAAGTCCAACCGATCATCCTCACAACACGCCTGCCTTTTTATCCGTGTAGAGCTTCATCGATTAACCCTAAGCATGGTGAAACGCGTTTGGCAATGTCGCACGATAACAAATTAGACTAGCTAGTTGGTGGACAAAAGAATAGTGGAAGAAAGTTAGACATACGAAGGCCGGTGAAGCCATTCGGACATCGGGACCTGCCTTCCCCTGAACACTTGAGACCGGATTCTCAATCCGGAATATAAACTGTAGCATATCTGGTGGGAACATCGACAAACTTTCGAGAATAACGAGGTGAGCTGCTAAGATTATCTGACCGATCACAGTTGCAACGCCAGAATCGGTGGGAGCACCGGCTAACCGCTTGTTGCTTGCAGTGAAAATTGGAGACGGGGCGAAAAGATGGTAGAACTTACACAGGTTTCATAGCAGTGTTTTTTGAACTCCAAATATTTCAGCCACTTCCCGACGACCTTTGCATCCAAAATCTTCAGAGATAGGGCTTTAGTAAGATAAATGGAATAGAACAGGTTGATGTACTGGTACGAAGAAGAGTTCGGGTTGAAAACTGCTCAGACAGATGTAGGACTTACGAAAGGCTTGGGTAACTCTCGCCGTAACGGTGGTTTGAATAGTACGCACGTCTTGAGAAATTCTGAAGAAGCTCTAACCCTTGAGTTCACAACAGCATTCCCCACCAACCATGTTAGGCGGTATTCCGCACCGAAATCACTCGCGGTTGAGCATTGCTACAACCAAGAAGCCTATCCCGCACGCGATTGGTCATAAGATTGGGCCACTTGCCGGTCCAGCATCAAGGCACGTTCTGATTGGCCGAAAGTGGGGCCCAAACAGCCAATCATGATCTAGTATCTGACGGATGCCGGTTAACAATGGCGCATCCAGGCATCCGAATTTCCAAAATGTAGTCGCCGCATACATTTTATGTATGATGCGCTGTAAATGTGTTTTTGACACGGTTTTGTGCACCTTCGATGGTTATTTGACAAAAAAACTAGCTTGAAAGGTTCAGACCGAGAACTAAGCTGAAAAATACGGCTATTAGAAACCGCGACTTGGTGTGCGACTGTCCAAAGGAGAGATGCCACAACATAGGATAGACCAACAACGTCACCGTGGAAGACCTCATCATTCCTAAAGGTGTAGTTTTAACCAAGTACGACGTTGCACGACTGGCCAGCTACTGGACGATTTTCAGCAATGTAGAAGGTTCGGGTACGGAAGCCATTTTTGCTGGACGGTTAGGGAGGATAGCCTAGGCGAGTAAACAGAGTAAAGACAGCTACTGAAGCCTATAACCAGACGCCCCCGATTTTCACGAAATCCATTAGCATTACCTTGGATATACTACTTATTCGTTAACCCGGACCATTGTTTCACGGGTGAGCCGTGAATAGTGCTCACTAATTTTGATCACCACAGGTGGGCCACAGTGCCCCTCCATCTATTACTATTTCATAACACACCGTACATTGCGTTGCCCATATTGGCACAATTGTCTGGCAGATATGTACGACCAAACTGCACTTCCGGTCGGTCAGTCCGAATCGCTTGTGGTCAGTCGAAATCGCACATGCGTCGACCCAAAGTCTGATTGATCCATATTGTAAGCGCAGCAACAAGTCATATTTTATTCAGTGTTGCGCAGTGCTATCTGAGTGGCACCTCCAGAGACAGTTTGAGCTTTCAGTTTGGCTCCAGCGCAAACGTTTCAGATAAGGGGCGAGATGGCCTAAGTGGTTAGAGCGCCAATTTACTGACCGGAAGGTTCGTGGTTCGAACCCGACCTCTGCCTCTCGAATTCCCTTGTCTAGGATTGGGTGACCTGGCAGTATCCCATCCCTCGTGCAACCTTCGAGTGGCATGGCAGCTAGGCACCGAAAGAGTGCTACAGCTGAACGATAAGAAGATATAAGTTTCAGATACTGTACGCTCCACATAATTGTTTAATAGTATTTACATGTTTTGGATGTATAGTTTTTTGTGCTCATAACACTGGTTTGAGGGAGCCGGACCGACCAATAAGCGTCATTTCAAAAGCCCTTGTTTGATGACCGTAGAAGCTGGCTACATACAAAAATGGTTCTGTGTTCTGAGGGATTATACTAGACCCAACAATCGATCCGTCTACTAAGGTAAACGTTTAGATAGCAAGAAACTTGTGGGATTTAGTTGGTTAAATCCAAGGCTGGAACATTAGAAGTACTCAGTTGAGGGGGTGGAATCAAGCACCAGAACCACCGGTGAGGAGCTAAGCCCTCATCGGCTCAGAAAAGGTCACTGTGCCGGAATTGTGAATAGCTGACATCACTGCGCCGGCTTAGTGAACCTAGAGACAGCTGAGAATATATGTCATCTTCCAGCTCAAACATAAGGTTCGCCTGGAGAAGAAACCGCAGGGAAGGATGGTGGGGAGATCAGGACAAAAACAAGGTGCAGAAACTTCACTAAAAAAGAAAATGTCAAACAAAATGAATTTTATCACGGTTTGAATGTGGCCAGCCGAAACCAGACCCAGTGCGGCGTAAGGGTTATCGCTTGGGGAATATGATGATGCGCACTAGTGGCCCGTGCTACTACGAAAACCTGTGTAGAAAGCTAGTCTGGGGTTTCTAAACTTGGGGTTTTTCATTAAACTTTGACATAACATCCAACTCGGTGGCGAGAGGTGTCCTACATTCAACGAATTTACTCAGACAGGGGAGCCTAAAGTTCAAGAATACTGATTGCAAACCCAAAGGAGGACGTCACAAACAAGCCGTACCAAGATGAGGCTAAATAAACTGTTTCTCGGAGGACAAATGAAGACCTGGGTCAGTTAGATAGGGTGTCGCCCAGTCCCTATATAAAATACGAGATCCGTTGCTGGAATCACGACCGCGACCCAGTCTGCGTGGGCCATGCCTCATTCAGTTTCAAGTAGATCCATCATATCAACCGAGTCAACCAGTACGAAGTAAAATTGAGTCACGTTATGTCGCACACTTCCATTAACAGAAAGCAGTGTTGGTTTCATAACGAGAGCGACGATTTCGTCTCGGATTATGGCTACGATTGGCTGTGTACTAAAGGTGGAACAACACCGTCTCCACATGTGTGGCATTTGTGTGTGAATGGAGCCAGTACGGCAGCGCATCAGCACCCGAGGAAGGCCAAACATTCACGCCTAATCCTTTAACAACAATCAGAACACAAAGCCTCTGGCCTTGAAGTGAATTCAATTCAATGGCTACCTTAGTCAGGTGTCATGGTCGGGGAGCGAAGCTTTTCACCATGAAGCAACACGACGGTGTGTCTACCTGTGCGACCCTGCTGTTCTCCTATTCACAGTCCAATGGCTTTTCAATAAGAGTCCAAAAAAAGTAAACAAGAACCTGTGTTGTTGGTCTAGACAAGCAAATTCGTTCACTATAGGAAGAGGCCAACATACCTGCTTTTTGGTACATGTTGGAAGTTTCTTTCGCCAGACCTGCGATGAGGCTAGGATCATGCTTGAGTTCAATGGCCCTGGCCAACGTGACTGAAAAAAGGGAAGGAATACGCACGCATCCATCACACGTACATGATAACAGGCGTTATGCTCAATGCACGAAGGCATGCAACATAAGAAGAACGAAGAAAAAAGGGGTCAGCCAAACGTAACTTTTTGGTTTCCGCTGCATACTTCTCCGGTAATCAAAGCGGCCTCTTTTTGAACAGCGTCAGCAGTTCTGATTTTGCGTCATGTCTTGTGGTGTCAGCAACGATCAAGAAATCCGAACCCCCAACTAGAAACCCGCAATCGACCAACGGCAGCCCGTTTCGTTCTAACTTTGTACATCTTTGTGCGTTTGATGTTCCGCCAATATCGCAGCATTCGAAAACACGGCGAGACGCAGACAGCACTGGGAAGGCGTGCACTATGACAGGACGGGTAAGCGAAAACACCCTAATACTGCATCCCTGTTACTCAAAACTCCACTAATTCCTCCTTCTCTCCCCTACCACACTGTGTAAAGTGTCCTTGCAGGTTTCAGCACTACAAGTGTGTACGGAGGCCAGCCGTCCCTAATAACTGAACACCACATCATTTGGATGAATGTGTCACGTGCAGGACACG